CAATTTGAAAAAAATAGGAAATGAAGGGTGGTGGTTATAGAGTAGGACTTGGTGTACTTCCTGCTCTTCCCTTCTACTCTAACAATAGACTGCTCTGACTTATAAATATTAGTAGCCACATGAGAGTAGAATTTGAGTAGTATTTTAGGACTTTGTAGAGATCTTGAAGTATTATGGTGGCTGTAATAAGCACAGTAAGTAAAAATGTCATATTTTGGCAGAAGGAATATTGTATAGTTTGTTTGGGTCAGTGATTGTGGCTAGCTAAGTTTAAGATAAGACAGATGATGACCCACCTTCCTCATCCCACTTTTGGCCTTGTATCACATTTTTTTTTGTATTTTTACAAAAATAAATATTAGTCCTTTGTAGTCAGTGGAAGAAAATTCTAAGTAGGTCACTGCGAGTAGCCTGAGCAAGACCTGATACCATTTTATTCCCCAACCCCACAGACAAATTGTACATATGGGAATTAGTTAGGATTTCATACAGTCTTTGAAGTATTATGGTGGTTGTAGTAAGAATGGTAAGTAAGAATGTGGTATTTTGGTGCAAGGAACAATGTATGGTTTATTTGGGTCAATGATTGTGACTAGCTAAGTTTAAGATAAAACATATTAATGAGCAGACTTTAACATGCTCATCTTTGAGCCTTGTGCCACATGTTCTGTTTACAGAAATAAATATTAAGTAGTATTTGATTTACTCAAGTATTTCTGTTTTATGGATGAGTATTTAATAAACCTCTTCTTTGTTTTGTTTACCTAGTCCTCTACTCTGTCAATACTTTCTCTGAGTATGACCTTCATAATTCTCTGCTATTTTGAATGATGACAGCATTACAACAGTGGGGGATTAAAAAAAAAAAAACAACTATCAGGTCATCCCATAAGTTCTGTCTGAATTTTAATTTTTTGTTAAAATGAACAAAATTTAAAGTATTTTATAATGTCTAATGGAGGTGAGTTCTTTGAATCAAAGCTAAAAGAATTTTACAGTAATGGAATTAGCTTGCTAATAGATGGAAGGAAGTGTTGATTGAATCTGTAATTAAATGTAACATTTGGTCACTCGTTTTCTTTATTCAAAATTCGGACAGAACTTATGGGATGACCTGATATATTAAAGAAAAAAGTTGTTGGTATGTAATCATGTGTGTGGGGGGGGGGGACTGGAATAGTTTGATTCGATTTAATCTTGTGGTTAAGAGCTTAAAACAGCTGGGAATTTGTCAGTTGTTTGACACAAAAAAGACTGGAGTTTGAGTGTCAAAAAGATCCCTTATTTCTTGTACTCTGCTCTTAATTTATCGCCATAGATTGAGCATGTGAGTAAAAGCTGAAATAAAAGGTGACAAATTTAGATGAAAGTAAATGATAAAGAACAAAATGGGTAACATTTATCAACCTAACATTTTTCCCTTTTAATTAAAGCTTCATCAGAGAATCAAGACAAAAAACAGAAATTTTAGTATTTTTACTTTTGTGTTATTTGACCCCCATTGGTTAATCAGGTTTCCTGTGCAGTTGACTTGTTAAATAAATGTTAGTATAGTTTCAAGAAAGTAAGAAATTATTTCCTTAAATTGGGAGAGGTAGAAATTATAGTAATGTTTATTTAACAAGTCAAATGCATATGAAACATGATCAAGCAATGGAAATCAAACAACACAAAAGTAAAAATACCAAAATTTTTTTTTCTTTTTCATCTCATTCTTTGATGAAGCATTAATAAAAGTAAAACAGATTGAAAAATGTTTCCTATTTGTTTGTTTATCTTCTCATTCTGTCAGACTGAAATCTATATTTGATCCCAACTTTCTCTCTATATATATATTTTATCTAAAATTAAATTGAAGTTGAATATTAGTAAAAGTATAAATTACAAATATGTTAAAGTAACAATAGGACAGGCCCCAATGACACTAGGCACAATGAAATTACGGTATCTTTATTTTTGTGTTTGGTTTTCATTGGTTAAGCAGGCTTCACATTCATTTGACTTGTTGAGCAGCATTAGTATTATTTATGGTGTTCTGAACTCATTACTTATATATTATAGTAAGGCTACTTAACAAGTCAAATGCTGGTGAAGCCTGCTTAATCATTAAAACTCGAGCAACAGAAATATAAAAATAACTTTTTTTTTTTTTTTTTTTTTTTCTCTCCATATCTCGTTCTCTGATGAAGATTTAATAAAAGTGAAACCTGTTAGATTGTTAAACGTTTTATATTTGTTCTTTATTCTGTCGGATTCCGGTGCATATTTGATTCCAATTTATGAAAGTAAATATTAGTTTATCATAATGCTTAATATGCTTGATGTAATAAAGATGAAATGAAAATAATTCTTTTGCTATTAAAAGTGGAAGAAACCAGAAACCCTGGCATAAAGAATGATTTTAATGGTTAGAATAATTTTCTTCTTCTTGAAAGCTGTGAAGTTTTTGTAAATTACTGGTGAAATCAGTTAGGTCGGTCGGTCTGTCTGTGGTAACAGAAGATGTTGGTTTGGATCTCATTAAAAGTCCATTGTTTATTTACAATTGTGTCCCTTCATTAAATGGGTGATCATGGGTCTCCACAAGTTCCTATCTTTTGCGGCTCTTAACTGCAGACTTTTACTATCCCTCCCATTTGCTCTTCTACCATCCCTCGGTTTCTGTATTGCCTTTAATATGCTGTGTGGGTGTAAAATTGTGCAAGTCGTCTGCTGATACTAAAAAGGAAATATAAATTTCAGATAGAAGTAAATAGGAGTATAAAAAAAAAAAAATAATGATCTTCCTTACCTGTACTGTAAGTAACATGTTAGTGTTTGAAGACCTTGCAGTAAGTAGTAAAAGAATTTGTGGTTAGATGTAACTAGAACGTTTGAAATAAATGGTTTGAAAGGGAAGGGTTGGCACCAGAATCAAAGATGTCATGAATGAAGTCTGTCTACTCTGTGCAAGGCCCGGTAGCCAGTGGAGGTAGGTTACGGAATAAGAGGCACACTTTATGTTGGGAGTTGGTTCCACAAAGCAGTGGATCTTACTTCTCCGCAATGGAATACAGAGAATGAGGGTGGCTTGTTACAATGTGCATGGCATGGTGGGTTTTTGCTGCAAACGTTAGGACTGGTAGAACTAAGGAATGTAGCTCATCAGAGCAGAGCGTGTCAGATTCTCCCAGCCTTCTTTTCTCAGATGTTGTAGGAATTTCAACTGTGTGTCCTTTTGATTTTATTTTCGTTAAAACTTCCTCATTACTGTAATGTAATGTCTGTTTTTCATCCATGAGGAGATGGGGAAGAAAAGAGTGGTGAATTATGTCTTAATTTTGGGGTATAATGAAGCATTACATATTTACAAGGTGTTTGAAGTTATTATGCAAATCAAATAAACGTCAATAACTGAAAAATTTCTGAAGCAATATTTGTGAAATTTATACTTGTCTATTTCCACTCGTATTTGCCAAGACCCTAACAAAAAGAAAAGACTATGAAAGTATAAAAATACATTTTTATAGTGAAGATGCCAGCAATACAAATAAGATACATATCAAGACAAAAATTACCAACAGTACATTTTATATCTGCAATTGAAGACATACTATTGCGTTCCAAATATTTAGATTTTGGCATTAATTAACCTATAGAAGTTGATATGCCATAAATCAACCAACTTAGTGGGGGGAGGTTTCTGGTTTTCAAGGAATCAAATAAAAGTAAATTAGTTTCCATCATCCCTAATTGGACCCCAAACTACCACCATTCATGACTAACAGATGTCCCCTTGAGTGACTACTGAGCCTTAAACTCAGAACTCAAATGGGTCTTCTAGATACAATCCCTTGGTAAAGATGTAGGTGAGATGGTCAGCTTCCTGTACCACTCGAGTAAGTTGCTGATTCTTTATGTTATCCTCTACCTTTACAAGATCCAGGTCAGGCTGAAATTGGAGTACTGCTGTCATAGTTGGGTGGGAGCTGTCCAGTCGACACATTGTAGTCTTGATAGAGTTCAAAAGTGTGTCAGTCCTTGTGGGTGATAAATTATTTTCTACTGTGCAAGGTCTCTGTCAGAAATGAGTAGCAAGTCACTTTTTGCTGTATTTCTACTTCCATTGAAGGTACTTGGACAAATTACATGTGTTAGTTCTGCCATGTGTATTGTAGCAAACCATTCTCATTCATTCCATTGGTGAGAAGTTCTACACTAGAAGCTTCTTCCAGCAAACCATTGACTCTGTAGAAGCAACTCCCAATCATTGCAATCCTAACCTGTACAAGTCCAAAGTTAAGTGTTGTTTTCTCCCCCATAAATTGTTTACCTGAATCCTGTAACACCATCTTCAAGTGTATCCCAGGCCTTGTACAAGGTGACCATCACAAAAAAAAAGTCATTGAAATGTTCAGTTGCCTGTCAATATATTGATACCTTGTCTTTTACAATCTGTTTAGTCCTTTGCATTGTTGAGATGGTATCTGGCAGAACTTTTTCACAGTAAAGGTTAAAGGAGTTGATATAGTTTATTCTATTTCTTTATTCTCATTTCCTGTTTGTATGCTGGCATGTTGTTCCTCCCCCTGGTCTTGTTTATGATAATGTCTTTCCAAAAGAAATGCAGCTTCTGTAGTCATTAACAACAAACAGCACCCATATTTTCCATTGATGTCTTCTCATGGATGGTTGTAAATTGGGCAACTGGTGTGATGCTCATTAATTTGCATTCCAAGTAAGGTTATGAAGTTTGAAAATGGTAGGGACTGACTTTAGTGTTATCGTCGTAGTATGCTTGTATTAAGTTTGATCGTCTTTCTCACCCCCCCCCCCAAAAAAAAAACAACACCGATTGTGTAAGATGGTTTGGAAAATGTAAGTAAATATGTCAGATAAGAGTTTTTATCAGATTGTTTAAGAAGACTTTAAATTATTTAATTATAATTACTTAAAAAGAAGACTTTACAAGTTGCATGAAAGTAGTGTCAAAGTTTTCAGTAAATGGTATTAGTGTTTTTATACAGTGGAGTTTCATACATGTGTATTAATTAAAAAGAAGACTTTACAACTTAGTAATGTAAAGTGTCTGAACAATTTCTTTTATGCAGGTTTGAAATAGGGAGGGTAACATCTTTATATAGACAATCAATTCATGGGTTATTGTAAGTATTTATTGCCATGTTTCAGCAGTTGTACAACTCTTAAAGTAAACCCCTATATTTTTGTTCACTAGTGTAGATGATCTGTTTGCTTGTCAAAGCTCAACTGTACAAGTTTGTGTTCACCTCTGCTGAAATAACTTTTTTGATAGAAAAATAAGACAAGTAGCATTGTTTGCACAGTTTATATTCAGAGAAAGTATTTAAATTTAGCTGTGATTTGAGAAAGTTTTTATTTTTCAAAGAAAAAAAAAAAAAAAAAACAACAAGTCTCACACTTTATAAGTGTATCCACAGGTAATTGTACAATATACAGATCTGAGCCAAGCTGTTTAGTTGGTAGCAGATGGAATGGAAAAAAATGCTGAAGCAATGAGTGATACAGTCTGCAATATATAAAAAGAAAAGTTAAAATAATTTGTAAAGCATTGTTATAAGGAATGAGAAAAGTATAAGTGTTTGTTTTTTTCCCCTTTCAGAAACTGTTGGTGAGAAAGGTGGCAGCAAAGTGACAGGTGATGCCAAAGTAGGAATCCTAACAATAAAGTACCAGGATTGGCTGTCTTCAATTGGATTGAGTGCAGATGATAATGACAAATAAAATAAAGTTAAGAAATTTGTTTGTTTTGTTCTTTATTTTTGGCCAACGAAAAAAGTACACGACATTGCCAAAGTTACGACATTAAAAAAGTACACGACATTGCCAAGCGAAAAAAGTACACGACATTGCCAATCTAAAAAGTACACGACATTGCCAACTAAAAAAAGACATTTACTTATTGAAAAAGTACATACACATATCACAACTAAAAAAGTACACCACATTGCCAACAAAAAGTACACACATTGCCAACGGTAAAAGCACACCACATTGCCATCACAACTAAAAAGTACACCATTGCCAACTAAAAGTATAACACATTGCCAACTAAAAAGTACAATAATCTATTGCCAAACTAAAAAAAGCACACCCACATTGCCAACCTAAAAAGCACACGAATGACATTGCCAACTAAAAGTACACGATTGCCAACGAAAAAATAATTATACACAACTAAAAATTGCCATTATCAAAAAAAGCTAAAAGTAAAAACAATACCCATTGCTAAAACTAAAAATACACGACATTGCCAACGAAAAAGTGTAAAGTACAAATTGCCAACTAAAAAAAGCCAACACACCATAAAATACACAATCTAAAAAGTACACGACATTGCCAACGAAAAGCACACATTGCCAACTAGTAAAGCACACCTACATTGCCAACGTAAAAAAAAGCACACCGACATTGTATAACGTACATTGCCAACGAAAATACACGACATTGCCAACGAAAAGTACACGACATTGCCAAAAAAAGCACACAACGTAAAAAAGTACACGGTATATCACAACAATTTACAAAAAAAGCACAATTGCTAACGAAAAGTACACACATTGCCAACGTAAAAAGTACACGCACATTGCCAACGAAAAAGTACAATTTACATTGCCAACGAAAAAGTACACGACATTGCCAACTAAAAGCACACCCTAAAAAAGTACGACATTGCCAACGAAAAAAGTACACGACATTGCCAACGAAAAAGTACCGACATTGCTAAACGACATTGCTAACGAAAAAAAACGAAAAAAAACGAAAAATTACACGACATTGCCAACGAAAAAAGTACACGAAAAACATTGCCAACGAAAAAAGTGCCAGCGAACACCGACATTGCCAACGAAAAAATTGCGACATTGCCAAAAAAAGTACGACATTGCCAACGAAAAAGTACACAATTTACATTGCCAACGAAACTAAAAATTGCCAACGAAAAAGTAAACGACATTGCCAACGAAAAAGTACACGACATTGCCAACGAAAAAGTACACGACATTGCCAACGAAAAAGTACACGACATTGCCAACGAAAAAGTACACGACATTGCCAACGAAAAAGTACACGACATTGCCAACGAAAAAGTACACGACATTGCCAACGACATTGCCAACGAAAAAGTACACGACATTGCCAACGAAAAAGTACACGACATTGCCAACGAAAAAGTACACGACTCACTTTTTTTTTTTTTCTTTACATTTTCAAAAGGTGTAATCTATTTGGAAGTCTTATCACTGGGCTTTGCCATACATCTATGTCTTCCTGAAGTCGTCGGTAGAGCATAGCAAGTCGATCAAAGATGTCATCAACCTGTAAATCAATCTTATTCAATTTACCTTCTCTTACTCTTTCCACACTATCAACACCTTCACGATTATTTTCCTCTGAAATAAATAATACACATCTGAATAAGCATAAAATACTAACAGCACAGTCATAAAAAAAAAAAATTTCTAAAGCAAACAATCTTTGCTAAGAATTCAAGCTCACTGTTGCCCTCAGCTTCCTTATCTAAACGTTGATAATGATGGGCAGTTTACATTCACTGAATCTGTTTTCAACATCTATTCTACAGTCTTTTCACCAGGAGTACAAGTGTATCCCCTCCTTTACAAAGAACCCAATATCCAATCCTCAACTTTATTTCAATTTTAGAATTCTAATGTCTCCACCTGAAATTCACCAGTTTTATTTACTGCTTTTTTTCTCTTTTTTTTTAAACTACAAATAGACGCACACACTTTCCACCCATTTCACACTCCACCCCAGCATTTCTAACAATAGAGGTACATCTCTTGCTTTCAGATCAGGTTTACTGACATTTTCATTCTTTGCTGCCACATGTAACAAGCCACCAGTCGTGACATTGTGTCCCCCACCAACTCAATACTCCTTAATCTTCCTGGAGTGGCTCTTTCACAGGGTCTACAGGTTTTCCTTTCTTAAACCAATCCAAACTCATACACTGCCTACAGATACTGGGCGGGGATAGTCATCAGACACCCCACCACTCCAGGAAGAAGTACAAATTCTAAAGAATTTACACGACCTTCCCGGGTAGACGCCCTCTCCCCCCCCCCCAATACTATGCTATTTTCTCTACTCTTTTCGTACCACAACTTATTCAGTTAACACTACTTTCACATGCTATTCGGGTTTAGTTCACTATTGCAAGCAGCAAATAGACCCACAGTTGGCATGCTTTTTTTTTTTTTCTTTTGAAATCAATAGAACACTAGAGAAAATGGCTTCTCCGGGACAATAACGAATTCGGGTGAGTCTCGCATGTAAAAATGGCAGCTTCACAAGTCATACATTTCACACAGATAAATCGTGATATTTATTATATGGAAAAAAAAAATAAAATTGTACAAATATGACCGGCCGGGATAATTTTTAAAAATCAAACTTACCTCGCCAGAATAATCCTGACACTAAAATACATTTTTTTTTACTACAGCCGACATAATATGAAGTCAAACATTTCCCCTATGTACAATTTGTGGGGGTGGTAATAAAAGAAAACCTTTCTAAATTTCATACCCGTTAATGAATATTAACAAGGACAAGACGTATTTACATTTTTTAGCAATAGAAACCACAGCAAAGCCCTTAATTTGGTCAGAAACACCGAGTGGGATGGCCTCTTGCTATTCTCTTTTAAAAATGTTAATTTTAAGTGTCAATGAAAAACTTGCATTAAGAAATTAAAATAAAAAAATAAAAGCGTCACTAACAGAGTACGTGGGACTTGAAACAGAAAACACGTTGCACTTAATTCGGATGGATTTTTTTTTTTCTACTCGAGTTCATATCGCTATTGTGGGTTGAACCAATCAAATTACCGAAATTTCAACATTATGTACGTAGTCAGCTTTTCTTGCTTCCTGACATATGCATTATTCACGAGAATATTCACTAGTTATCTTTACCGAGAGAGACAGCTCACCAATAACAACGTCTAAACAATCGGCCTATAAAATTCACATATTACTCACCCGGCTTTTTCTTTCTGATATTGACGAAGAAGTGCTCAATGTCGATTCCAAGCCATTCTTTAAATCGGCCCAAAATAAAGTTCACAAGCTCGTAGTCGTTAGCCTGCTTGGAGATATCGCTGCGTACCAGGGCGAACGAATCGTTCAATATAGTCACGAACACGTTCAGCAAAATGAACGTGATAAACATGGTGAAAGAAAAGAAATAAATGGGACCCAGGATCCAGTTAGCCATGCGCAACGTGTGGTAATGGTACTTCCCGAGGGCGAACATGAACAGCGTTTCTAGGCTGCTGACGATGCTGGCGTAGGCGGCGGCTGTGGTGCCGAACAGCATGTAGCCGAGACAGGCGTACGAGAAGAAAGATACCGAAAACACCATTGAAAAGGCGGACAGGTCCTTGGCGGCGTGATGAAGAGTCCGAGAGAGCATCGACATACGACGGTTGAAACGGAGGAGGTGAATCAATTTTAGAGTCGACAGGAATACAGACAACGCAAGAATCACAGAGAAAGTGTCGCTCCAAAACGACAAACGCTGGAAGTTGTAGAATTCACCTGCAAATTTGATTAGACATTTTAAATATTATATACGCAATTTCAAGTAGCTTTAAGGGATTTCTGGCCGTTGGCGATCATAGCTTTCCAGTTTCATATCTTTTTCTAGCTCTTGGGGAAAAATAAAAGTAATATATATATATATATATATATATATATATATATTTCTAAAATAAAATTCTTAAACACAACTAATAGATTAGCTGAAACCTCTTAGGAGTTTTGAATTCGGCAAAACCTACACTCCTTAAGCATTTTTTTCATATGCCCAAAAAAAAAAAAAAAAAAAAAAAAAAAAAAATTTAACAGTACTTTTTTTTTTTTTCCACCACACAAGTATAAGATTGGTGTAGACAGAATAAAATTCCAATAAACAAAAAACACTATATTGAGCATTCTTTTAAGAATAGAGTAGAGCAAATAGCATTTATTAAAAAAACAAAACAAAAAACAACACATATATTATAAGATCGCTACAAAAATAGCCATTTTGTTTCAACGCTTCAAACAAAAATGTTATTTTTGCAGTCACGTTATAATATATATATATATAAAAATAACGTAAAAAGATTTAGACAATTTCTTATAAGCACTTTTTTTTTATATCAGATAAAAATAAATTATACTTATATAAATAAAATATAGAAAAAGATATTACCTTTCAGTTTTTTTACCATATGAATAGCAGAGTTCGTCATTACATGACGCATAATGTACATTGCCACGGCCACAAGGGAGGCGCTGAGGTTTAGAGTCTGCAGAACGTTCCAAAAACTATTGAAGCATTTCATTCTCAGCTGGCGAAATGTCTGCACTTCCTGCTCTACGAAAATAAAGAGGAAGATTAGACACGAGATTTCGGTAACCAGAATAAAAATGCCATAGCCTCCGGCGTATGGGAACAGGCGAAAAGTATGAATAAATATGCTGGATGTAATTCCGCCCAATGATGGCGTTTCGAACATCAGCACCACCGAACTAAACATATTTACGTTCGGATTGTAGATCGTGAATTCCACAAAGACGACCCGAGTCTTATCGTCAATCCACCGTTCTCTGATCAGCTCCTTGACGATGCTTCTGGCTCTGTCTGGCCCTCCTGTTAAGTCCTTACAATAGCCGCTACTGCTGTACAGAGCCCTCTTACCCATGATCGGGATACCCCCGATTTCGCTGTGATGACGGTATCTCCAGGCGGAGTTGGACGCTTGGCCGACAGCTGAAGCGTTTCGTGGGAGAGCCTGCCACTTGGATTTGTAGTTCTGTTCGTCTTCGTTTGTAAACGAATAATCTTCGTTGCAGTTGGCTATCAATCCGTGCAGTGGCGCGACACGAGAACAACCGCCTGTCGGAATGGAAAATAAAAACAGCAAAATTAAATGTAACGATATATTGACACTGGAAAAATTCGTATATGCTTATGTCAACTTGCAAGGTTATCTCCTGTCGCGAGCTATTTTTATAACAACTGTCGATACTCCGTAACAGGTAGGGGAAAATACAAATTAGGAAATACAGAAGAAAGCAAGCGACTCTTCTCGGACCTTTTTAGGGCTAAAGCGTGATTCTCAACCTCCGTGTCGCGGCACACTAGTGTGGCGCGAAATATTAACACAGCCTACATAGGTCGGAGTGTGTGTCGAAGTACAGAGTTAGAATTTAAATAAAATAAGTATTAAACTTTTTCAAATAATTTTCACTATTATTGTATTATGAAATTTTAAATACTGTGTTTTAGTATTAATTTTTTTAATAGTTGAATAGAAACACTGAAATAAAGTAAGTTCATATTTTTTAATTTATGGTTTTATTTCATAGCAAGATTTTTAATTTTAATTTAAGTGTACCGTGATATTTTCATTTACGTCTAGATGCGCCGTTGCTTAAAAAGGTTGCTATACACTGGGCTAAAGCATACACTTATTTATGGTCATTACACGTTTGCTTATATGCACAGGTATAATTCGTTTGTGTTTTTTTTCTTCATCACTTCTATGTGACATTTCCCACAAGCACATCAAACGAAACTACCTTCAACCAAACTATAGACGAGTATGAAATCACTAAAAATAAAAAATAAAACATTAAAGAACTAATAAAATTGTCAGAGACAGAGAGAGAGAGGGAGAGAGAGAGAGAGAGAGAGGGACAAAGAGAGAGAGAGAGAGGACAGAGAGAGAGAGAGAGAGAGAGGAGGGACAGAGAGAGAGAGAGAGAGAGAGAGAGAGGAAAGAGAGAGAGAGAGAGAGAGAGACACAAAGAGAGAGAGAGAGAGAGAGAGACACAAAGAGAGAGAGAGAGAGAGAGAGACACAAAGAGAGAGAGAGAGAGAGAGAGACACAAAGAGAGAGAGAGAGAGAGAGAGACACAAAGAAAGAGGGAGAGACAAAGAAAGAGGGAAGAGGGAGAGACAAAGAAAGAGGGGAGAGGGAGAGACAAAGAAAGAGGGAGAGAAAGAAAGAGAGGGAGAGAGAAAAAAGAAAGAAAGAGATAAACAGAGAGAGAGAAAAAGAGATAAACAGAGAGAGAGAAAAAGAGATAAACAGAGAGAGAGAAAAAGAGATAAACAGAGAGAGAGAAAAGAGATAAACAGAGAGAGAGAAAAAGAGGAAAATGAGAAGAAAAAAAGAAGGGAAGAAAAAGAGAGAAGAAAAAGAAAACAGAGAGAGAAGAAAAAAAAGAAAACAAAAACAACGAAAGAAAAAAAAATCACAGAAACAAAACAAACAACCCAAAACTAACAAAAAAAAAATAAAAAAAATAATCAAAAAATGAAAATATATAAAAAATACCATCCTTGAGATCGCAACTCTATCTAAAGATATACATGGAAACTGAAAAGCAAAAACCTGAAGCCGAGATGCCAGGTTAGCACCAATGACATTGCAGATTATTTAATTCTACCTAACTTATTTGCTTATTAGATACTGGCGTAAATTCTTATCTAAGCTGGAATAAACCATCTTCTGATAGAATTTTATATATCAGAATACCAGCCGTCTACCACAAATATCAAGCTTACACCCTTCGGAAATTTGTAACTTGTACCACGATAAAAGGTGTTTTACCAGGAATAAAATTTTAAAAAAATCATCCTATTTCCAAGCAACTCTTGATCTATCAAACAGAATGTCCTTGTTTTTGTGTTTTGCCATTATTAAAACTTTGCATTACCAGTTTTAACCCTTAATTGCCGCAAACGAACAGGTCCGACACGGTAACCCACGCCACTAGTCAGTATTCGAAAATCTCCTCGCTGAGCAGGCGCCCCATTCAATAAGGTCGAGGTGTAAGTATGTGGCAGCAGAGTGACATTGGTCCAGTTCCAGAACTGACGCGGTCGGATAATCTGAAAAATTTTGAGATCACTTTAGCTAAAACGCAATCATTTATGCAACCAGCCATATATATTTTTTTTTTTTTTTAACAATAAAAAAAAATTAAAATCTTTAGACACACTGGGTTGTAGATTAATATTCTTTCGTTTTTTTTTTTGTTTTTTTTTATTATTATTCCATTTAGATTCCTCGACTAGTTTCGACCAAAATGGCCATCATCGGGAGGAGAAATATTTCTGCTCGCTGGTAGCACTAAACTACAGAAATTAATGTCTTGGAGAAAATGAACTTTTGTCTGTAGTTTTCATTTGTTTTTTTATTTCTTTTATCTTTTTAACATGAATCTTTTAACAATCCTTGTGTTGGTCAAACAGTCTCTTTTAAGTTATTTGAGGTAAGAGCTGGATGGATCTATGCTTCTCTCAATTCCCTTGGTCACTTTGACAGTTTTATTGCTCCTGGAGAGGGGATGTGTCTGTTTGGTGTTTGTGTGTGTTCTTAGGGAGTGAGTGAGTATGATATGTGTAAGCGTGTGTATTGTTGTGGGTGTGTGTTATCATTTGGCTCATTAGGGAGTGAGCGAGTATGATGTGTCTATTCGTGTGGGTGAGTGTATAAATATGAGGCCTCCACACCTCCGTAAGCATGTCTGTCTTGTGTGGGTGAGAAATGTGGGTAGGTTTTGATTTGTTGAGTTATATATTGGTACTATCTATATATTGTTAAATTTATGGTTTAGCCCGGCTGGATATTTTGTTTTTAGACGTTGTATCCACTTATTTTCATGGGACAAAAATCTTTCTAATGTTATCTGCTCTGAACTTTTCTATTCTCTCAATTATAGTGAATTTGGCATGGGCTTTGAAATCATGTTTTTCCAGGCAGAAATGTTCTACAGGTAATAATTTTTCATGGGGAGCCGACTCAATTCATTATATATATATATATATATATATATATATATATATATATATATATATATAATTATCAAATCCTACTAATTACTATCTATGTTTATCATCGCTTGAACCGGCTTCTAATGCTCTGGAGGGAGCGGCTTGGTGAGAGTAGTCGTGGCTCCAGGGGGCACAGTCCTAAGAGAACTCAGTTGAGTTCCGCCACGGAATATGTGAGCGAGCGGCGCTAAGTTGATTCTGATTTGGAATCTCTTCGTCACCGAGGCCCATTTGGAACAGTTGGTATGATGTTCGCTTGACAACCCAACAGTCAGGGTTTCAATCCTCCGTAGTGGATGCGTACTGCTGATGAGTCCCAAATATAAGACGAAACGGCCGTCCAGTGCTTCCTGCATTCTGTAGAGGTTTCTATCAGACTTGATCAATTAATATATATATATATATATATATATATACACACACACACGTCTATGTTTTGAAAGGGGAAAGATGGGAAACGAATGAGGAAAAAAATAAAGTGAGAAAAAAATCAGAAAAAAATAAAAATAAAAAAACGGGAAAGATTTCCCTGGAAATTTCTTTCAATACTACTTTCTTAGATTACAGTGGTGCGACAATAAATCATTTATTAAAGACTTACCAAACGCCGATTACAAAAAATAATCTAAATCACAGTTTTAGACTATCAGATTCTTACGCAAGAGAAATAATTTACCTTAGGAAACGTATCAGTTCGCAGAACCTTGAGAAGAGTGTTTTTGATGAGGAACGACCTCGGGTCTTGATTGTTACAGGCCACAATCGTGAGTAGAGTTAAGTAGAATACGTAAAAAATTATTTCCTTGATGAGTTGGTTCATTTTGATCTCTTTTAATCGACTTTCTCGCATCTTGGCTAATAGGGTTTTGTCTGGAGAGAAAACAGACGTGGAAGGACTGTCCTCTGCAAGTTCAGAAACAGAAAGTTAACAAAATAGTTAAGCAAGCAAACGTACAATATTTTCTTTAATATCGCGTCGTGGTGACCAGAGGATGCTAAGCACTAAATGAATATCTCCCCACACACACACACAACCCAATTACGCACATTATTATATGCTATTTAATAACTAAAAAATATTGCCAAACTAAAATTTGTTTAAGCCGCCGATGATTAGCCAGTTATCGTCTGCTTGCATTTTTAGCATTGCAAAATTTCATACAAGTTACATTAAGTAAGAGCAAATTATGTGGAATAGGATTTTTTTTTTTTTTTACTTAGATTTTAAGAACGCAGACATGGAAACCTTTTATTACTGTTCAGACGGATTGTGTGAAAAATGTATCCATTGTCTTCATATGAGTTACTTGTGATTACCAGAGAGAATATATCATTCCTTTTTTTTTTCTTTCATAATTGTCAAGTTTAAGTATTTGCGTAAACCCAATAGTTACATTTATTTTACAGAAATGCCAGCACATTTTTCGTAATTGATAGTTTTAACATTTTTCTTATGCAAAAAAAAAAAAAAAAAAAAAATAAATAAATAAATGACATTTATGTGAATAAAAGTATGACAACATCCCCCACCCCTTTTTGGTAACTATTCATGTACAGAAAGTTTAAAAATTCACATTACTTAAGGCAAAATTTTTGTTAAGATGCGGGTAACTGCAGAAGACATGAAGCCTTTCTTGATACTAACATAATTTAATGTTAAAGTATTGAAATATCCCTTTTCTGAAAAAAGAGCTATATATCAGATTTCATAATTGATAAAGAAACTGCATTCTATGGAGAAAAAAAAAAAAAAAAAAAACAAACTACATTTCATACACGTTTAATTGAAATGTTACAAACGATGTATTTTTTTAATGTTTCGTACAAAGACACTTCTCCAGTATTATCGTCATCCAGAAAACTTTTACACACAAATTCAAGTATAGGATTAGTTTAATTAGAAATACGAGACACTCTTAAAATCTGTCTACACACCAATATATTATATGAAAGAGCGTTTTTTTTTTAAAAAAGTTATTTTAATAGGTTATGGGGGGGGGAGACAAAACAATTATTTTAACATTTAATACAAGCTAAGAAAAAAGTTTTTTTTAAAGTTAAATCATTTGAAAATATTTAATACAGACAAAGAAATAAACATCTGTGTGTGTGTGTGTGTGTGTGTATAAACTAGCAACGCTAGTTTCCTCGTTGCATTTGGGTTATTTTCATCAAGAGAATCTAAGAAAAGACAGTATAAATACTTATATAGTTACAACCAAGAACCCTAAGAAGGTAGTAAGTTTTCCCATTACGAAATTTGAAAATGAACTAAACACAAGACATTGTGGGGGAGAGGTCACTGAACGGTCAGTATAGGACAAAGGACAAACATTAGCCAATACGGGACATATCCGGTATTTAAGGGACGTCTGGCAACCGTATTCAAGTAGCACTTTTGTCTCACAAAAATGCTTGTCCTAAACAGACTTATCCCTGTCTCTTAGAGTCAAAGTACTTATTCAAAAAAATTTCGGTCGGGAATAGGAATTTTGCGAGCAGTTTTGTTAAACAAGAGTAGAAAGTATCAAACACTGAACGGTTTCCAGTTTAATGAGAACCTTGCTGACACTCAAAATATGCCTATAACTGAATAAATATTCTTAAATATGCCATATCCCTTCGGATGTTGGCTCTCCACAATGTCTTTTTGCCATCTCTCCCAACCCGTTTCGCCATCCATTTACTCAAGTTAGCCAGGTAGGTTGTACCTTCCTTTCCTCTGACCCTCTTATCAATCTATCCCGTGAGTATCAAATTCTCCAAGTCCTCTTTCCTCATAATGTGCCTCAAATAGTTCAGTCTCTTCCTGATAAGTATAGGTAGCCATTGTCCCTAGAACTTTGTCGTTGCTCACATGTTCGGTTCATAATATTCTCAGCATCCTTCTGTAGAACATTTGTTGCTTCAAATCTCTATAGGAGGATTGATATTACATAGTAAAGTAGTCTTTGTTTCTAACGATATTAAACCCCCCCACCCGTTTCTTAATATTTTGCTTAGCTTTTGGAAGGCATCTTTCACTATCCCAATGCACCTTTGGATTTCAGTGTCGCACTTTCCGTCCTCTGTTAATATGCTTCCCAGATATCTGAATTGTTGCACATATTTGACTTCAGCATCTCTACATTTTCGGTCATACCTTTTGCTACTAATCATACAACTCCGTCTTCTTGCAATTGATGTTTAGTCCTTTCTTATCGCTTTCCTTCCCTGTCTTCTACAGGGAGTTTCCGTCATTTCCTTTCCTTCTTCTATCAACTCTAAAACTTTTGAAATTTACTATTAACTTCAGTACTTATTTCGGTAAGAACCGTCACGAGCTTTTATGGTTTTCAACTTATCCTTTAAATTAATAAATCAAATTAAATAAGTTGAGTGATCGTACTTGAAACTAGAATTATTTCAGTCGCTAGAGGGCGTGCCACTGGCTAAATCTAAAGTCACCATCATTTAACTACTCGTAATTCATATGGTTGACAAACTGGTTTCTTTTACTCCCTCTCACTACTCTCTTGATTCAGTTTGTAGCAACAGAGGTGGCACAGTTATAGCCCAGTTACCGTGGAAGGTAGACGTTGCATTGCCTTCTTCGGGGGTGTCCGGTTGTGGACACTTCCACAACAACCTAGTTAAACCCTCTAGGAAATGCACTATTCCTATTTTCACCATCACAGTCTAGCAAAATATAAGTATTCATTGGTCAATCACCTTCAATCTAGCTTGCTGATTGGTCAGTCCCGACCAATCTGTTTTCCCGCTCATATGCTGGGATCCTATCACGTGGTACACGACCATTATATAAACCCAACACGCGTAAACTCCTTCGAGTTTTCTTTTCGTTCATCTCTCTCACGTCTCATTCCCTGCTACCAAGTGCCAAGATGTAATTTTCAAGAACTCCCGTCTTAACCATTGCGGTCAGACGTTAAAGACCATACCAACATTCACGCAAGTACAAACTGAAATCTCTACTGAACTTTTACCAACTTTACAACTCATAATTCCAAACTTTATTCTTCTAAATTACAAGTTTAATATAACTTAATATGAACTCAGGTACAACTAATACCTAATCAGAGGGACACGACTGTCCTACCTTTTCAGTTCGCCTGCATGTACATCAAATATTAATAAATTCAATTGTTATGTTTTGAAGTCATTCCGTTCAGTTTTGTATTTTATACTACGTGCTATTTACGTCAAATATAAATTGCATTGCATCGACGCATTGTCCTTAATCCCACTTTTCCTAGCCAAAGTTAAATATTGGTAACTCAATCACTACAATAATGGCAACCTCGACGTTCACAACAATGGTAAGCCAACCGCTAGACTATCATCCTACCTAAGCAACGACGGTAAGTTTTCATGAGATATACAACTCTTTCAGTCCTGTAATTATGAGTTTAGCTAATGTAATATCTTTCTATTCATGGAAATATATTGTGGCTATTTTTGATGAATAAAACTTTTCTCCATTATTGTATTGGTGCGTTTCCCCTACAATTTACAACATATGTTTATGCAATAAATTTATTGTAATTTTCATATCAATGAATAATTATATCTTCAGTTTTGATTTAACGAATATTGTAACAGAGATTGCCCGTTATATTTCTCAACAGTACGGCAATATTTTACATAATTGTAACACTAAGCATTTTGTATTGGGAGTGTATAAATACTCCAGAGAACTATCCATTTTCGGAAATCTGAGTAAATTAATCTAGGGTTAAAGATAACTTGGAAAAAGTAATCATTTTTTTTTGGGGGGGGGGGTGGACTGAAAAAGCCGCATGTAAGAAAAAAAAAAAAAAAAAAAACAACAACAACAAAACACACAATAGTCCCGTCCCATTTTTATGGTTGAAAGTGGTAATAAGAGTCGAAAGATTTGTAATTAATCTGGTAGACAGAAAAGAGATCAGCTAAGTACACGGACACCGTAAATAGAACAACTTCTTAAAAGCTTCAAAAGGTTTGGGATTTTGTAAAGTCTTTCATACTATTTTTTTTTAGGAGGTCCCATTAGTAACTACAGAAAATTAGGTGATCAAAACTCAAGCTGGCTTTGATTTCTGCTATTATATAAAAATTCAGTTGGTGAAATTATTTCACAAGAAAAAAAAAATATCGATCGATGGAAAATATTTAAACTAAACATTTGTAAGTAAAATGCTCAATGTTAACATTCATGGGGGGGTAAAATGTCTGAAACTTATATACTAGCAGCATGCAACAAACTATAAACCAGAAAAACCGAACCAGGTAAAAAAAAAAAAAAAAAAAAAGGTAAAGCCAAGACAAACGAAGCCAAACTGAACCGGCTTTTGTTTTATCGCAGAAATCAAGTCTGGCTCGACCACCAAATTCCCAATGGTTACTGATGGGACCGTAGAATAATTTAGCATGAAAGGATTTGCTAATTTTTTAAACCTTTTCTCGACGTTGTTCAATTTACAAAAGAAAGTCGAAGCTGATCCCCTTTTATTCCCAGGTTAACTAGAAATTCTATTTCTTTCATCCGTGGGATGTAAATGGTTGGAAGCTGTGACATTTTTCCAACTTGTGCCTTACGTACTAGTTTAAAAAACAAAACAAACTAAAAAAAAAAAAAAAAAACATCAAGTATTGCTCAGTTATTTATTATACCATTAGGTCTGATTAATTTATGCCTAGTTTAGGAAAAATCCTCTAAACACAAAAGAAATCAAATATCTACCCCAAAATCTGAATATGATAGAGATTCCGGAGAGAGAGTTATAAGGTTTCAAATTGAGTAAAACAATATAAAATTTAGAATTTTACTAAATGCAGGTTCTTGAAATATCGTGGAAACTACATATT